CAGGCCAAGCCCATTCTGCAGTTTTGAATTACACCTGCAGAGGGCCACATGGTTCTTTTCTAACAACCACTAACTTTATCATTAATTATGGTTTTTCTCCGTTTGCTTTGGCACAAACTTCACACCAGAAACATCATTCTCACTTCTTAGTGCAGTTCTAAAATCAGTAACACATTTCCCCTACCACACTAGCCTGTCTGAGTATTTTTATACACACTGCTATTATTTCTACACATACTAAACTACATACACTTCTAGAGATATTTGTTATGGTATTGATGCACTTCTCACAATGACATTTTACAACTTATGAAAACAGTTTATGTTTCTTAGTCAGAACCTTAGGTCTGTCACTTTCCTGAATACTGTCCAGCACTGCATTAGTGTTTACAATCAAGTTATTTCAAATTGTTTTCAAATATGTAAAAATGAGCAAATACAGTCACACACTCTTGGTGTTAGCAGTGAAATTGTCCTTCGGGTGAAAGCACGTTCTAAGAAGAAGTTTAGTTGAAACACACAGAAATACATACAGTCCTTTGTCCTTTTGGCACAGGTAATTACATGCATATACTATACATATAGATCCAACGGCCACTTTATTAGTTGCATCTTACTAATCTCAGCTTGGACTGCCTTTTGTCTTCAGAACAGGCTTTAATTCTGTGTGTTATAGACTCAACAAAGTGCTGGAAACATTCATCAGCAATTTGAGTTTCCTGTTCTTAGCTGACAGGAGTTGCACCTGGTGTGGTCTTCTGCTGTCGTCAAGTCAAGTCAAGTCAAGTCAAGTCAGCTTTATTGTCACTTCAACCATATACAGTTAGTACACAGTGAAGCGAAACAACGTTCCTCCAGGACCAAGCTGCTACATGCAACATAAATTTACAACATAAATTAACAGAAAACACTAAACTAGCTAACTAAGAGGCCTAGTTAGCTGGCTAGCGGAGACAAGACAGACTGACCTAACATAAATTACAACATAAATTAACAAAAACTAACTATCTAACTATCTAAGGAAGACTTTTTCTTTTTGGTTAACAGACAGCAGACAACAAAGTGCACGTGCAAATGTGCAAACAAGAGCAGCAAGTGACAGTGTGACAAAAAAACACAATGTAACATAATAAGGTTTTGTGATGATGAGTTGAGGTAGTGGAGGAACAGTAAACATTCCTTAGTGTAGCAGCAAAAATTAGGAAGTAAAGAAGTTAGTGCAAAAAGTCCAGTAATAATATTGTGCAAAAGAGCATTTACAGGTTGGTGTGTACGATAGATTGGTGGTGTAGGTCAGTGTGTTTGCGCTTGTGTTGATTAGTCAGTCCAGTCTCAATGTTTTGAGGTAGTTGAGTTAAGCTGAGTGATAATGTGTGTGTGTGCGTGCGTGTGTGCGTGCGTGCGCGTTTATCAGTCCAGTCCCTTTTTGCTGAGGAGACGGATGGCTTGTGGAAAAAAGCTGTTGCACAGTCTGGATGTGTGTGCCCGAATGCTTCGGTACCTTTTTCCAGATGGCAGGAGTGTGAAGAGTGTGTGAGAGGGGTTGTAGCCCATCTGCATCAAGATCTGATGTGCTGTGCATTCATAGATGCTGTCCTGCATGTCTTGTTTGTAACAAGTCCTCGATTGAGTTATTGTTGCCTTCAGTTCAAAATATTCAGGCCATTCTCCTCTGGCAATAAGGTCTTTTCACACAAAGAAATGTCGATCACTGGATAGTTTCTCTTAGTCAGAGCACTTTCTGTAAACCTCGGGGATGGTTATGTTAGGAAAACCCAGTAGGTAGTAGGTTCTCAAATACTTTCCAAAGTGTGTAAGGTTTTAATGAAAGTAAAAAGCCATTTAAATGTTACAAAAAGTGGTGAAAGTGTTTTTATTCATTAATCATAGAGTTGAAGTGATTGTCTGACTTTGCATGTTCTGACAAATGTGAAAAAGGTTTTGATTGTTTTAGTGTCTTTTGCACTGGTGAGTTTGTGATATGGTAAATGTCTTGTTTTGAGAACTGCATGAAAAGTGGCGAGGACAGTGGAGGAAAGTATTCAAAATGGCAACAAACAGCTGAAACTAAGAAAAAAAGAGTTAAAATGACCCAAAGAAATAAAGTGAGGGCAAGCAGTTTGAAAGACATGCAAAATGAACACCAAGAGGCACTGAAGTCCCACGCAATAAACAAAATAACAAGAAAGAAGCAAAAATTGAGAGAAAAGACAGTGAAGAGGGTGACAAAGGAGCAAAATTACAAGAAAAAGCTTAAATAAAGATACCTAAAGGGAAACAATGAAACAAGAAGTGAGGAAAAAAGATTTTAAATGACAACAAAGTGACAAAACACGAACCAAAACTGAACCAAAGTGAAAACAAAGAAAGACTGAATAAAAAGATTCAAAATTATGACAAAGGAGAGTCAAAAGATGTCAGAGTAAAAAAGAAATAATGTAAAGCCAGAAGGGGACACTGAAAAGTCAAAAAGGGGACATAATATGCACAAAAGACACAATACAGCAATACAATACACATTATATACATTATGAGGGCATCCAAAACAAGGCCAAGGAGGCACTAAATCATGATTAAGTGACATCAAAGACATGCAAAACAAATCCAAATAGACTCCACAGAGACACAATATAACTATAGAGATTTAAAATCTGTGACAGAAAGAGATGAAACCAAGGACAGAACAGAAGACACAAAATGACAACATGAGGCAAGCAGAAAAGAACACAAAGCTCCTGAGACATGCTCAAAATGACTGACAGATACAAAACAAGGCCAAAAGACACATAATGACTCCAAAGAAATGTCAGATGTTTGAAGGAGATGCACAGTGACAAATAGAGACATGGGACAGAACCTGCCAGAATGAAAGTGGTGTAATTTTGCTGTTGTTTTTCAGTCTTGTGTTAAGACGTGGGGGACATTTATACTCTTACTCGAGGCCAGTCTATGCAAAGTACTAAAAAACAATAATGAATCAAACAGAGTAAAAATATGAAATCTTCTTCGTCCTTTCCTCGCACACTCTCTAGTTTTAGCGTCAAGTTTTCTGGCTGGAGTGAAGTAGAGAACATCAGGCAGCTTGCAGCCTCTTTGTTCTCCTCCTGGCTCAGCAGGGAGACGGCTCTTCTGAGTGCAGCTGCAGCCTTCCGCCCCCCCTCCTCTCGCTGCTCTATCAACCCGCGCAGGCGCAATTGGCTCCTCTGTGCGCTCTACTGTTTGCATTGTGTCTGAGCTGCCGGCGAGCTTTAAAAATATTATACCCACCGCGGCAATGTCGGGCAGGTCGGTCCGAGCTGAAACCCGGAGCAGGGCGAAAGATGACATCAAGAGGGTTATGGCCGCTATTGAGAAAGTACGAAAATGGTAAGAGGAAAAGTAGAAAAAAAAGCAGGGTTCGTTATCTATCACGAGAAAGGCTTGCTTGTTGGGGGAGGAGAGGGAAGGAGCGAGACAGAGCGAGGGATGAAATTGAAAGAAAAGGACATTTTCTGAAGTGGATTTCACGGCAGATGTACTTGCAGCTCAGGTGCACCGGGGCGCACTAGTGCGGTGCACCACCCCGTCCATCGGCGGGCTAGCACGTTTAGACTACATGTAGCCGGCGTATTTTTCCACTGATTTTAACGGCAAGGGTTGAACCCAGAAGCCATATTTCGATGCAGTCACATGAAGCCATTGCTGCCCGCTGTTGAGCTCGTAGCACAGGCGGCGGTTTTTAGGATCGAAACGTCTAATAAGTCCGGACTTGGAAACAATTTGACGACGGCGCTCTTGAGTCGGAGCAGTTTAGTCCGTCTGGAGTTTTAAATTAAGCGCTTTGAGTCGCCCTTTAGGTCTGATAGAGACTGAGGCACGGTGGGGGTTGGGAGAGGGAAGTAGGCTACTGTAGTGCATGGCTGAACACGTAGTGACTCAGTCTTAACGTTTAACACAAGAAAAAAGCCTTTTATACACATTTGAAGGCTCCGATACGCCGATGTTTGTTATGATAGTATACACAATTTAGGTGCGAAAGCTTACTTAGTGGCCAAATTTATTTATTTATTTTAAAAATAATTTATATACATACATTACATATAATTCCCAGGTCGGCG